CATTCAGAAATTCTAAAAAGCAGACCTTCAGTTTTCCAATCTGTCTTCCCACTGCACATCAAAAGCAATGCCTATGTGTGCACAATGGACAGTTATATTACAATTCCCCCCATGGAGAGGGTGGCAGGGCCTCTCCCTCCCCAGGGAATCCACACTCAACAAGGCTCAGAGGTCAAGGGCCACTGCCCAGGTCACCATAATAACCAACACACCCTCAATCTGGTTCATGATCCATCCAGGCAGCTCAGACTCTAGATAGCTCAGTCAACCTCTCTTCCTGTCTGGGGACAATAGCCCCCACACTCACTATGACATGGCTTGTTGTCTTCCTTACAGCTTCTTACAGCAGAACAAGAGGTGAATCCTGGAAAGAACCTGTAAACTACCTTCCACTGGTGCTCCTGATTGCTAAGTCTTCCCAAAGTTCATCATTACTTAGGACCACTCAGCTGAGCTTCAGGACATTAGCAGTTACCCTACTGGTTGAGCAGAAATCAAATGACTCAGACTGCCCAAGCCTTCCCAGCTCTGCCCTTCCACAGGAAGACAGGGCCCTAATCTGAGAAATTTGTAGTTTAGTAAAATTCTTCCATTCTCCTAGAGCATTTCCTGATCCTCTTCTAAGGCACTGAGTCCGATGCATGCACATTTCATTGCACACTCAATGTTCATAGCTAGGAGGTCCTGCAACCAAACGCAGGTCACGTTCAAAGAGTAACTGTTGGTAAACAAAATGCGGCCAATGAAGAATCTATGGGAGGGCTTACAGGCAGGAAAGAGAGCGTGGAAATGATGTAATTTTAATCCCCAAAAAATATGTTAAAAAGTTGAAACTGGTCATGTGCTCTAGAGACTATGGATTTGTACAAGAGCACACAAAGTATTACTTATGCCATTTTTCTTGGGGATATACATCTTAAACCTGGAAAACACAGTCATTTTACGCAGGGCCACATTTTATCTAGTTCTTTGATTTTGCTTGAACTTCTGTAACTACAGTAATTTGGTTCCATGAAAATTCAGTTCTTTATCCAGATTCTTGATTTCCTGGTTTATGAAACCATGAAGTGGTCAGTCTGGACATTTATGGAACATCTGAAATTGATTCCCTCACTACGCACTGCTAATGCCAACTACTGTCGCAGCAGGAGAGTTTTCACCCTCCTTGCCCATTCTTTTGTGTGCTGTGACTATACTTGCTTCACAGTTGGCCAGTGAACTCAATTCTCACACAGGTCCCACTTCATTTGTAAATTCACAATAAAATCTAGAGAAGTTGGAGGATACTCAATCACTGGTCTATTTTTTTTCTTTCCACAAACCAGTCAACATTTAGCCTGGAGGAATTGCAGAGCTGGCTTCCCAGCACTGGGCAGCAGAGGTAGGATTAGGTGTTCAAAGCAATTCTCAATTATATAGTGTGAGGCATGCCTGAGCTACAGGAGACATTGATTGAAACCAGTAGTTCTCAACCTTCCTAATGCTTTAATTCTCTAATACAGTTCCTCATGATATGGTGACCCTTCCCAGTCCCAGCTATAAAATTACTATCACTTTTGCTACAGTTATGAATTATAAAATAAGTATCTGTGTTTTCCAATGGCTATAAGGCCAGTCCTGTGATAGGGTCATTTGATCCCCCAAAGGGAGCTGTGACAGGTTGAGAACCACCCCTCTAAACTGATATAAATAAATAAATAAATATAGCACTTCAGAAAAAAATGGAATGAAATTCTTAAATCAGGACACATTGGAAAATAGAAACAAATAGAGATTAGAGCAATGATGCATTTAAAGAAAATGAAAGTTTAAAAAAATGATACCAATAATTGACTTTTTCAAATGACAAAAGTAATTGGAAGAACACTGCTGAGTGCCTTGCTCTTAAAGGGTCCGATGACCTGGGACAGATGTGTGAAGTCTTTGAAAGGAAGAATAGTCTGATCACCTGTTTCAAACAAGTGGCCCCAGATAGCCTGAGTCATTTTTATTTATACTGTTTCAATAGTTTGCATGAACAGTTTTACAGTCATATTTGTTTCCTTAAGTTTCTAATAATAATTACAATAATGCCAATTTGTCCTCTTATCTCCTTCCCTTTCCATCCCTCAACTTCCCCACCAGTAATCATTACCCACTTGACTTGTAGCCTTACTATCAGAGGCATAGGCAGCATAGCAAGCAACAAAGGAAGCTTTCTAGCTAGGCACAGCTACAGGTGGAACAGTGTGCCCAGTTGGCAACGTTTGCAGTCACATCCTGATGCAAAGTAAAAGAGAATTTCAGCTCTAATCAAATCTAAAATCGACTCAGTCAAGGCTGAGTAACTTCAGTCTATATTTTATGCTACTCTATCTCCTATTGGGGACATACCAGGCTTCTTCCTATCACCCTGTAAGCCACATAACTCAAAAGTTTGCTCTTAACAGTTGGCACTGCTGGTATCCCTCATTCTCATACCCCTTCCTCTCAGCTTCCTGCAACACTGGCTCCTGCAGTATTGACACAGTTAGAGAAATGAGGGCATTGTGGGTTTCTAGGATTCTACTTCATTCCCTGTTCTTAAATTCTTCCCATTAACTCTTGATATCATCTACTCGTTTGCATTACTCTTGAGACGCCTGTGGTTAGAATCATTCTCTCCAGGACAATCGAGCAGACATGGAATGTCTTGAACTACTGTGACTCTTTCAGACCACTCACAAGGTGCTTTGGAAAGGCAGCATCCTGTTCTCGAGAATCCTGAATTCAAGGTAACACTTGAAACAACAAAGGCTTTAAGAGCTGAATCAGATCCACTGTATATTTTTAACAACATTCCCCTCTGGCTCACCCAGAGGAGGATCATCAGGGGAAGGTTTTCCTAATAAAATACTCATTTCGTCTATCGCTCTAAGAAAGTGAAACTAAAGGCAATCAACAATAATTTTTGTAAGGAAAGCAAGGGGAGCAGGCAGCAATATGCTCCTGGAGTCGTGCCCAGAATTACACAGCAAACTATCTATTGGCCTTACCAAAAATGTTTTAAATTCTCCTAGGCCTTGCCAAAAGGAAAACTTATTCATGTTATTCTCAGGCCTTGCTGCCCAGTGAAGTCATATGGTTCTCGGCACTAATGAGTGCCATTAATAAGAGACTGTATGACTCTGTCCCATGTAAAATGTTAGTTGCTGAGTGCTGTAAGCTGACACAGATTTCCAGCCAATGGCCTGTGTCTCAAACCTCTGAGCGAACTTACTATGTCCACCAGGATTGCACACATCTGCAAAGGAGAGCTCCACAATTGGAAACTGAATACTCAATAGTTCAAGCTACCCTCCCTAAATTGTACACCCATCAATTCTGTCTGTCTTCATTCACATGGAAGGAATTAATGCATGCTGGGAAATTACACAGAATGTCATTCACCCCGCCCTATCAGGCCATTCTTTATGATGAAGACCCTGCAGCTTCAGTCTGTGATCTAGCTATTGTCTACTACGTTTCCCCCTGCAGTGTATACAGGACACTGATCTTCTTCCATTCTACAGGGAGAAGCCATGCTCCACAGGGAAATCCTTTTCCTGTCACTGCAATGGATAGCCCACTATGTGACTCAAACTGGTAACTTTAGAACTGTGGTGCTGCAGACCTGTAAACTAAGGATTGAGGGTAGTCAGTCGGGAGGAGAGCCAAGGGCAATGCCCTGTGGGGCTACAGACAGGGTTCATGTCCACCTCAATCAATATGGAAGACCTCGACTCGAAATGATTTTCAAAAAAGACTAGAGATGCAGCTGTTCTAGAATTAATATACCTTCATGGCACACCAGGACTTAATGTTGACTGTACCTGGAATGGCCCCTTGACAGCATTTAGAGGTCTGTCTTTTAATGAAGGGATGGGCCTTTCTGCTGGCTGTAAATCAGAGTTGTCTCCCTTGTTATGGGAATTCAGCTCTAAAGGTGGTTAATACTGTTTAACAAACTTTTCATCTTCCCATACCATTCTCTAGCAGGCATGGTTAGTGTACTACTTATCTTTGGGGTATTTTGGATGGAGCCCGCCCTTACCTAAATTCTACTTTGTGACTTAAGTTCTCCTAAGAACGGGTAAATCCTTATACCATCAGTTCTATTACAATTACTTCTACTCTTCCACATCACAGTTTGTCCGTGGAGTGCTACTCTATGTGATGTTAAGTTGGGAGCGTCACCCCCTCCCTTGGCAGCCATCCCAGCCCCCTGACCTAGGAGTTGCGTTGGTCTGGACTACAAATCCCAGCATTCCCGGGAGAGTTCAGGACCACTCCCACGAGGTGTTTACATGGGCGCCCAGAGGAAGAACACGTGGTTCCGGGTTTTGCACGTGCTCCTCGGTTTTCTTTCTCTCCTGCCGTGCTCTGGGCCCCCCGAAAGTGTGCATTTAATAAAACATGGGCATTTTAATTTGGTTTGATTTGACCTGATTGGATTTCTTTGCGCCGGCGGAGCTGCTCGTCTTGGGACTTTTCCTAACACTGTACACAGGAGATAATCGTTTACAAGCCCCACAAAATTAACTCTAGGCGGATCCGAAACCTAAATGTTAAATGTTAAAACTGCAGAACTTTTGGAAGCTGCTAGAGATCAGGGTTCTCCGAGCTTGGCAAATTTGCCTTCCACACTGGCAATACCAGGACTAGAGGCGCCCGCCTTTCATAGTGACGTCAATAACAAGGATATTTCTAAGTACCGTCCTGCTCCCAATGCTGTGTGCAGACGTAGCCGGAGGAGTGAGGTTATTCAGGGGCTGCCTCCCTGGGCCAGGGAGTTGCAAGGATCACGCAGGACCACACAGAACCAGCAGGAACACGCCGAACTCTGTGTCTAGCCCCCAGACTCCCACCAAACCGGGGGAGGACTCACCAAACCACCTCTCGCACCTCAGTCAGCCGCGCCACACAGTCTAGAGACAGCAGCCTCCTTCTCACCAAGGCCAACCACTTCTCCCTATCCGTGGAGAACAGGCTCTTTTACTCACCATGGTGCAGTAGCCAAGCTAACCCGTTTTCTCCCCACGGTGGAGCCCAAAGCACAACACACAGGACAACTTCCGACTTCACAGGAAACAAGCTGAGCCAGAAGCCTGGCTCCCAGAAGTACCCTCCCATCTGACTGGTGGGTCCGCAAGAGGCTCTGATTGGAGAGTGAGGCCTGAATGACAGGACCGGTGAGCTGAAGGCACGATGCACAGTAGTTCCTAGCCCTGGCTTCCAATCTAAGGACATACCTATCCAGGTTGGCTGGAGATTTGTGCCAAATTCAACACCAATGGGTTCAGTTTTACAAATTCAGAAGGAGGCTACTCAGACAAGTTTGCACAAGAGGAACACTGGGTAACTCAAGGGCATTATAAACAAAGTCCACAGTGGCCTTGGGATGAATAACCACAGCCCTAACTGTAGAAAAACGTGGGTTCTCAGGATCTGATGCCACCCCTCTGCCAAAGACCCTGGCCCCAGACCATTACCAACTCTACCAAGCAATTTCCCTGTTTTAGAGAAGGCGTTCTCTTACTTTCTCAATACATCGGGACCTTAGATAAAAATTTCAAGGACTACATAGGTTGTCAAACGCAAAGGGGCCTAGTTTCAAGTGTCTTCTAGAAGTTCTCCACTTCAAATTTGGCGTTTAGATGTAAAATTCATTTGGAGTTAATTTGTGGAGGATGTAAATGCATCTCAAATACTGGGTAGCACTCCACTACTAAGCTGTGATGTAGAAGAGCAGAATTGGTGATATAAAGGATTTACCAAGATTAGGAAGGAAGGAGATAGTCACACAAAGTAGAATTTAGCTAAGTTAGGGCTGCCTCTAAAATAACACAAAGATAAGTAGTATGTTAACAAGTGCTGCTAGAGATTAGGACGCTAGGATGTAAATGTTCATTTACCTTTTATGCATACTGTCATTGGTCACATTTCTGTAATAAAAACAGGTAATGGGATGCCCATCCATGAAGAGGATAGAGAGACTGCCTGTGTAAAAATCTCTCTATAGTAAGCTAGAGCATCATAGTTTTAGAAGGGACTTTTAGTTGTGTTGTGCTCGAGGCTATACACAGCAATTCGATGATGCTTTAGTATGTATTTGCTGTTTCTTTGTATTGCCAACATATACCCATTAAAAACCAAAAGCATGGTTATAATAGTGATGCCATGTATTATATAAAGACTGTCTCGTGTTTTCTCCTAGGTTTAATTTAACAGATTGTACCTGGGAAATAGTAATTTATTTCATTACCTTATACACAGTTTCTATTCAGCTGCCCTTCATTTAATTCTTGTTGCTCAGTACTACCTTAAGACAAGCACTTGGCAGCTTCCTATGACTAGCTGTGCCTGTTTACAAAGCACGGCCACCACTGGGCTTGCTTCTATTCCATCATAGAAGGAGGTATTCCCGTCTGTACTACAGTCTCTTTCACTACCAACTGTATGCAATTCAGCCCTAATGACATATGATCTTGTGATTCGGGGGACTCTGGGGCCCATTTTTATTCAAACCACCACGATATCCAAACTCCTGTATCTCCTCAACAATGTTCAGTAAGTTCACTGAACTCACTGAATCCCCAAGGTGGACTTTGGTGAAATTGTGTTTGCGTTTGTGTTTGTGTCACCCAAAAAACGCAAAAAAAAAACAAAAACAAAAACAAAACAAACAAACAAACAAACAAAAACCCTGCACCTGTTCCACTCTGGGAGCAAGAGCTTGCTTGTTTCTGCTCATGGTCAGGGTTGGTCCTTATGTGGAGGTGGAGTGGCTGGGCCTCTCAGCCAGGGTTCCCTGCACCTAAGCAGAGTACCTGGGATTGGGGGGTGGGGGGAGAATAGTTCCTTCCCTCGGGTGAGCATTTCCCTCCACTCCACTCTGGGCCTGTTCTCAGCAGCCCCAGGAAAGGGGAGCTTTGTCCTCGATATGCCTGAAGGACAAGGGAAAGTTCCATTCTTTTCTCCTTCCTGACTTTTCTCTCCTGTAAGCCAATGGTCTGTAAAACCCACCATTCTCTGAAAAAAGAAAAGTAAAACAAACAAACAAAATCAAACAACCCTACCCCCTTTCCCCAAAATCCCTGCCCTGGGCAAGGAGATTGCTGCCAGACAACTCAGCCCGGAATGAATGGATTTTCTCTTCTGCCCAACACTGACCAACAAGATTGCAAACAACTTTGACTAGGCCTTTGTAAAGATCAGACACAGCTGCTAGAAAGATTACCTCTGTACTCAGTTGGCCCCAGATATTACAAAAAAGTTATAAAAGGTAGGAAAATTCAAAGGTATGAAGTAGGTCCCAGTTGCTAGAGGTAGCTTATCAACAGGGGACTGACTGGGACGGGACCTTCTGCGTAAGCTGAAAGCCACGAGCGTCTTCTCTCATGATGAGCACAGTTAAGACTTACAGACCTGCAGTGAGGTCCCCTCTGTCAAAAGAACATCTAGCTGAGGTCCTGCCTCCCATCGACAGATACAGAGATTCCAGGGGGTATGGGCAGAAGCCAGCTCTCCCAGACTGACCCCACACCAAGCTCCTGTAGTTGTTCAGCTCACCAGTTCAGCTAACTCTGTTCAGATTAAACAGTACTCAGTAACCCTGGAAACTAAAGGGTGAGCTGCTTTCATATGCTCCAGTAGTTACTTTAACCAAAACAATTTGGGCTCAAGACAGGAAGTGCCTCAGCCCAGAGAACAGCATTGATTGCTCTGACACAGGCTCTTAGACTAAGAAACAGAAAGCCACCATACACAGGGCCATCAGTCGGTGCTCTCACTACTGGACATATCCGCATGGTCTGTATAGAAATTCAACAGGCTTCTCACTGTTGGGGAAAAGGGCGTTAAAGACTGGTCCTCCTAGAGGTCATTTGGTTTCCTCTACAAACTGCTGCCCTGCACTGCCGGGCTCCTGACCAGGCTGCCTGACAAATGTCCCTAAGACCAGTGGGCCTATTGATGTTCTGATGACTACCATGACCCCGTGCTCTCCACGACTCCATGGTAGGAAAGAAATAGACACCTCACACCCACAGATTGGTGGAGGAAAAGATCATTCTCCCAAAGCAACGAACTGGCAGGACTCTGATTCACCAGGTTAGTCGTCTGGGGTCCGACTCTGGTGACTGACCTTCACCTGGCTAGTCGTCTGGGGTCCACGAAACTTCCTGAATTGCTCAGATTAAGGTCTATTACACCTAGACTGGACAGCCTAGCATACCATATCTCATCCAGATGCCAGGTTTGTGCCCAAGTGAATCCAAAATAGAGAGCTCTTACCCAGGAAGGGATCCAAGTGAGGGATCAACACCCCAGCAAACTCTGGGAAAACTAACTCCACCAAGATTTGACCTGTTGGGAGAGGATAAAAGTGCTCACTAGTTTGTATTGATACTTTTTCTGGGTGGGTAGAAGCATTCCCAACCCAGACTAAAACTGTTCAAAGAGAAGCTAAAACAGTTGCTCCCTCCCCTAGTGACAGGGTCTGAAAATGGCCTGGACTTCATCGCCAAAACCTCTCAATCAACAACCAAAGCTTTAGACAGAGATTGGAAACCTCATTATACATATAGACCTCAGAGTTCTGGTCAGGTTTAAAAAACATAATAAGCAGGATAGTAACAGAAACTTTTAACAAAACTCTCATTAGAGTCCAGCAAAGGAGGATTATGCCTCCTTCCTTTGCTTTACTCTGGCCCACTGCAACCTAGATAGGGAAGGATTTACCGCACTATGAGGTTATGTTTGGATGCCCTCCCCTTGCTTCCAAGGCTCAGAGATCAGCACTCGGTAGAACTCTGTAACCGTTCCTTCCTCAAGTCCCTACAGGTCCTCCAGTTCTCCACCCAGGCTGTTCACTGAACTGCCTGAGAGACCTAACCGGCCTGAGTTCACCTCTAGTGTCCCTGTGTTTGAGTTCAGTGATTTCATCTGGGCCAAGCAAATAGTCAAAGGGATGCTGAAACTAACCCAGAAAGGACTACCCAAGGTGGTTTTCTCCACTCCTACAGTGGCAAAGGAGGCTGGCATTACCCCAAGGATCTACCACACCCAGGTCAAGAAAGTGAAAGCCACAGATACTGCTACCAAATGAATTGTCTATGACCTATGGACCCATTGAAATCAAGGTTTCATTGGGCCCTGGGTGTTTCCACTCCCCGCCCCTCTACTTCCTCTTGAGTCTTGTGTTTTACAGTATGGATATGAATACAGGGCTATGGTCCAGTCTCCACTACCCTCAGGCTTGGACGGGAAACTGAGGAGCTCAGATACAGGGAAGGCATTAGCTAATGTGACTACAGACCAGCACCCCATATTCCATCTTGACCATTACTTGCTGTTGTCTACTTTAAGTGTCTGGTTGTATGAAGAAAAAGAAAGCTATGGGAATTTATCTTTTGAAATAGGATTACAGAGTTTATGATTCTATGCAAGTCGTGTGGTTGGCGCCCTAGTTGCCAGCAACAAGGGAAATTTCCATTGCAAAACAACTGGGGTTGTAAAACTGAGGCTTCCTGAAAATTTTCTTTTAAATAATTCTGACCTTGGGGAAACAGGAAAACCTGGAGAACCAGACTCTATGCCACAAGGAGGGATCCTGGGGATAGAGTTAACCACTCCCAGCCACAAATCAGCCAGGACTGTTGGTTACACTTAGACCTGCAGCCCCTGAACTTCATAGGAATCAGAACTAACCTGCCTGTCAGTCTGTTTACTGACAAATCTCACTGGGACTGTGGGCAGTCCAAATCAAACTTAGAGGACTAATAAGGGCCTAAAACTTGTCTGATATGCAAAACTCTTAACCTAGGCACTTCCCCTTATTCTAAGGCTCGCTCTTCTGCCTTATGGGTTTGTTCATCTGGGTAACAGCAATATTGCTGAGTCCCTGAGAGTTCGTGATAGCATGTACCAATGGTTTGACTAAAAACATGTCTTCTGATGCTTTCCAAACCAAAGACAGGTTGATCAGGACCTAGAAATAATAAAACAACACTTAGATTCCCTTACGGATATGATTCTACACACACATGTGGTGCGGGAGAATTGTCTGTATTCTGTCAATCATGTATTTTAATAAAATGCTGATTGGCCAGGCAGGAAGTATAGGCGGGTCAACCAGACAGGAAGTAGAGGCGGGGCGATGAGACCAGGA